ACTCTACGCCTAAAATATAATTATCTGTGGTGCCCGCCGAGACATGTATGAGGGTGGATGTACGTTGCTTGTTCTAAAATTCACCCCGCTTTAGTACTAATTCGCTCGTAAATTGCGGGGAGCAAGATAACGTTTTCATATTTATATACACGACGGCTTTAAGAGTTATTTTAAGTTTTGATATGCCGCTCACTCGGCAGTAAAGGAAAACAACAGAAACCTTCAACTCTGACAACAAAAAACAATATGGTGTAGAACTTGTGTTGTTTGTCCTTGTGCAATTTATGTTTGTAAACTACCTCTACGATACAGGAGAAAATCCTAGTGTGGAGGTAACGTAAACGGTAAAAAAATATCAGGGACAAATGAAGTCCGGTAATACTAAGTATTGCAACGGCCTCCTTGCTCCCAAAAACCATAATGCGAGTCTTGCACCCAGCAATAGAATTTATGGAGACTTTTAGTGTTTATGTGTAGTTATTTATTTATTTATTATTATGTCCATATAATAATATACTAAACAGATAACAATCAAATTATATTTAAAAAAAAACAGTTATATAACAGTTCTATTCCAGATTGTTCTCTTAATATGTCGACACATCACTTTTTTATTTATTACAGGAGAGATTAACTCTTCGCTCGACAATATTTATGACATACTTAACTACATAATAAACGTACATAAAATCTTTGTGACATGGGACTAAGTGCGAATAAGTGCAAGCTGTTTTAGTGCACTTTTGAATATCCTAAATCTTTGATCAAAAATATCCAAGCCGGAGCTTTTCACTGATATCTCGTTGCAAAGTCGTTACATTCTTAGAGTGGGGTTATAAAATAAAGTTTTATTTTTATAAGACTCAAGTAAAGCAAGCAACTTAATTTAAGGAAGATTTCAGATGCGTTTTCACCTCTGAGGACTAAGCAGCTCGTAAATATTCAGACCGAAACACGTTACACGATCTACTGTTTGGTGCCAGAAATACTAGAAAGTGATACTCATCCCAAGCAATCTACGTGATAGAGCATTGCCGCAACCCGCAACTATTTTATGGTTGTAGCAGGATTGGGTCTGCTCGACCGGGGTAGGACCATGCTCTCACAACTGTGTTTCATGTGTTGAGTGTAGAGAACTGGTGACCTTTATACAGACATTCCATGTTATTCCGCAGGGGTGACAACGCATCTACATGTTGATTCTTAATCGAGGATAAATGTCTTTGGTCCACAACATTCAACAATCGTCAGGTGGACTGCGTGCTCGTTTGTCACCCTTATTCTATAAAAAAAATCAAACATTGTTAATACTTTAGCAGCATATATGCAATAGAATACCCAGCGCCAGCGCGTTCCAAATAGCCGGGAGGCGGAATAAATCGCAATATTCCGGCGGCCGCTAAATTATACCAACTAGCGATAACGATAGCGACTGTCTAACGTTAACACCGAATATTTACGCTATTAAATAAATAATATTACATTTTACACAAACATAAACATGTTTGACTTTGCCTCATTATTGAGAGGATAATAGAAGTTTTAGTTTTAAAAGTAAGTCTTAAATTTAAAGAAAATGATCTATAACAAAACAGAAGTGACTTCATAAGTGTTTTTATGTTATGTTATGAGGAGCTGTGGCAGTTTTTACAAGGAACCTTATGATAACTAAGTATAAATAATTTCAAACACAAATAATTTCCATGACAGAATTGAAATTGGCAAAAATCTGTTGAAAGTGAATATAATTCTTTATATTCAACGTTAATAATAATATGGATTTGATATCGAGCTAAAAGTATAACAACGATTTAATGTTGTTAGAGCACTCCCTCACGTTGTGAGGTTGTCTGCGATAATGCCCTATTAATTACTAACATCTCGCATCAGCACTTAAAATTGCAATCAACAATTTCATTGGGACCGGCGGGATCCATCCCTGGTAGCTCGCGTACTACATTTTTTTTCTTTAACTACTATGTACTCGGCGGTGAAAAAAAAACATCGTGAGGTAATCTGAATGTCTAAGAAATTAAATATTTATAAGAAATGTGAAGTAAGCCAAGAGGTGCTGGAGTAACTTAGCGGACTATTTCCTCCTTGACCCTCTCAGAAATAAGACGAATCTAAGATTGTAATCACACCTACGACAGACAGAACGGCTTATGAAGTTCACTACTTTAACATAAACTTCATATTTATATTAAAGATAGAATAAATCTGTAATATTACTGCTGCACTTTTGGGGTCGATTAAACCTGTAACAGATTTATCATCATTAACAACCTACCTTCACAAATCCACTGGTGAATTTAAGCCAAGAAATGCAACTGCATCGATCGATTTCCTACGTCTTACAGGTCGTTACAGCATACTTACGAAAAAGCAGCATACCGATGCTACCCTACCTGTGCATTAGCTTGACTTAAGTGGTGACACATATATGGGCTGTATCTTTACTTTACTATCACATAATATCAAATATCCTTCATTCCATATTTCTATCATACATACATTGAGTCCGCAATATCCGCCTAACAAAATATCACTCTCATCGTCCCGTTTCTACGCCTACGAAGTAAACTGATGGCTATATTCAATCTCACAAAGTGCGGATTTTGCATATTGGTTATTTTTATATATATGTATAGCACGTTCTAAATCACTTGCAAACAAAAATCGTTACATATCCGATATGTCAATATTATAACGAATATAAAAATATATTTTTCATACAAACTACTATTATTATTACGATAAATTATGTATTATATATGATATTTGTGGTGCCGTGTGTTAACTGTGTAAGAATACATCGCCCCAGAATGTTCTGAGTAACTGTTCGGATTAATTCCAGCCGCCAAATTTCACCACCGCATATCGCGACAAAACTCACGATACTCGTACCACTCACAACGTCTGGATGCTTGTATGTCCACCACTGTACGTTTTACTAGAAGTTTTATTTCTCGCACGACAGTTTTGTGGAATCGTTTACCACTGACGATTTTTTCATACTGGTACGACTTAGGAAACTTCAAGAAACGAGCTTGCTGCCTTTTAAAAGGCTGCTAACTCACTTGCAATTCTCCTGGTGTTCAGGGCCGGTGGTTGACGCTTACCGTCAGGTAAGTCGCGTGCTCTTTTGCCCCCTCTTTTATTAAAAAAATTACCGTTATGTTCCGCGGGTCATACCTTCATGACATAGCTTCCGAAATCTTGCGGTATAGTAAGAAATACCATCTAACACTACCATCTCGAGACGGCGAAGCCGGCCTTGCTCTTTCTGACCGAGACGCAGGTGTCCTCTCCGGCTGATACTTCGTATCTCTCCTACCCGGGGTACAAATTGGAGCACTCCTTTGTGCCTCGGGCTGGAGTTTGCGTGTATGTCAGAGAGGACATCTGTTCTCGACGCCTCGGCAGTCTTGAAGGTTCGGACCTGTCCATCCTTTGGCTACGCGTAGACAGCGACGACCATCCGCGCGTCTACGGGTGCCTCTATAGGTCCCATAGCGGTAATTCCGAAACAGACCGACTCATCGACCACGTCCAAATGGCTGCAGACTCCGTGCTACAACAGGTCCCATCCGCAGAGATCTTGATCCTTGGCGATTTTAACGCCCACCACACCGAATGGCTCGGTTAACGTTTAACCGATCATGCTGGGAGATCTGTTTATGACTTTGCCTTGGCATATGGTCTGACACAACTGGTTACTTTGCCTACGCTAATTTCAGATGTGGAGGATCATACACCTTCCCTGTTGGACCTTCTGCTGACCTCTCATCCGGACGGATATCAGGTTTCATTCGAAGTCCCTCTCGGCTCTTCGGACCATTGTCTGATCCGGAGTGTGGTGCCACTCACGCTCCCCTAGCGGTTGCGTTCTGCAGGTTGCCGCTCTGTTTGGCATTACAGATCGGCGAATTGGGACGGAATGCGGTCTTTCTTTGCATTCTACCTATGGGTTTGCTTCTTGCCAGATGATCCCAGCATTGTTGCTGACTCTGTCACTGATGTGGTGCTACAGGGAATGGAACTATTTATTCCATCATCTGTGGTAGCTATCGGAGGCAGATCTCAGCCTTGGTTTGGTCGCTCCTGTAAGACTGCATTACGCAGTAACGCAGGAGTGTTATCAAGCCTGGCTGCGGCTTCGGCGACTCGGGATGTAAACACCAGCACACTTAAAAAGAAGTATAACTTCGCCTCCAGGCCCTTCAAAAGAGTTATTGCCAAGGCAAAGTCAGAGCACATAGGCGGAATTGGCGAGAAACTAGTTCGACTTCCTTCGGGAACCCGTGCATTCTGGTCTTTCGCCAAGGCTGTCCAAGGGACTTTCTGTAAGCCATCACTACCTGTTCCGTACTGGAACAGATTATTTATATATTGTGTTTTTTGTTTCCCTTTTTTTTTCGCATATAATAACAAATGCAAGGCAACACAATTTAGAAGATAGTAATTTTTCTATATTTCTATTAATTCATTGGGTTGGCGATCAACTGTTTTCATTCTGAATGCAGCCATAATCTTGCGGGTTATGGCTCTCTGTGCGACATAAGCGCAACATCGATTGGCGGCAATTGTAAACAGTCTAATTAAAACCACCGACGCGCGCGCATACAAATATTTTCGTGTTACTCAAACTCATCTCTCAAGATCTCTTTCACCTGGAAGTGTTGTGCTTGTAACCTATGGACTCTTGTGCGATACACTCTGCTGAACTTTGATACTACTATCATTGCGTCGACTGCCCCGAGCTCCTTGAGCCAGCCCCTGGATTCGTGGTTGCAGGGAGATTGTAGCGGTAAGTCGCTAAACCCAGTAGAATATCGTACATAAATATTTTGGTCATTCGATCCGGATTAAACATTTTGATCATTCAATCCGAATTAATATCTTCCAGCTTGTGTTGTCTTGCAAAGCAAAGTATTGCAGTATTACGTACTCAATTCTTTTATGTGGTAAAATTATAATCCGCCATTTTGTAACGCAAAATGTCGGACGACGAATTACCGTGTGAACAAGATATTTTCGAAAGAGATTTAATTCTTGATGAGCTTAATCGTATTATTCAGCTCGCAACAACAAATGAACAACATTTTCGTTCGCGAACTATTGATTTAGCTGTTCACCAAAGAAAATTCAATAAAGTTCAAACAAAGATTGAGAAAACGCTCATTAAAATAAAATCATTTAATAAAGAGGAGCAGATTAAAGTTCGCAATGATTTTAACGATTTATATTATACCATTGTTACTTATTTAAATAATTTAAAAAAGGAGGATGAGCAACAGCGCCGCACGAGTCGGTCATTTCAAGCATCCGAGGTCATAGTGCAAGCAAACAGAAAAAACCTACCTATATTGCCATTGCCAGAATTTAACGGCGATCCAACCGATTGGCCGTCGTTTTATGACTTATTTCGTTCGTTAGTACATAACAACAGCGCTTACTGTAATGCGGAAAAGTTTAGATATTTACTACTTGCAGTTAAAAACGAGCCACATAATCTTATTAAATCTATTCCTATCACCGACGAAAATTACCTTGTAGCCTTAGATATTTTAGTGTCGCGTTATGATAATAAAAGAATTATTGCATCAAAACACCTTGACAAAATTCTGGATATTGAACCATGTTCCGATAGGTTGAGTCATAGTGTACGAAATTTACTAAATATATATCAAGAGAATATAAAGGCGCTTGAAGTTATGAATTTTCCAATAACTCAATGGAGTTTTATACTATTAAATATTTTGTTGCGTAAAATTCCGCTCACTATTAGAAGAACATTCGAACGTTCATTGAGTAAGCCATCCGAAATTCCAGATGTATGCGCGTTAATTTCTTTCCTCGAACGGGAAATTTCCGCTGACGAAATAACTATTTCTACTGTTTCAAACGTACATTCTGCTAAGAAACCATCGGCGAATGTGGGTAATTCAGTAAAATTCTCGGGCCGGAGCAACAACGCAAGCGGCGGTACTGTGCCTACGGCGCGACGCTCTTTGATTACTAACCTTAATGTACCCATAGAGCAGTCTCGATCTAAAAGTAATGGTAATAAGGTTAGAACTTGTTTACATTGCAACGGTCAACATATATTAACTAAATGTTCACAGTTTCTAAATCTTTCTCCACAAGATAGGTATTCATTCGTGCAAAATAAAAACATCTGTTTTAATTGTTTACACGTTGGACACGACGTTCAGAATTGTAAATCAAATTTCGTTTGCCGTTCGTGTTATAAACGACATCATACATTAATTCATCTTTCAACGCAATCGTTATCGGTCATTAGCGAAACGACGGTGGCTGATAGTGCTATACAGATCCCGCCTACGAAAGAGCGAATGAGTGTTCTCACGGCTGAGTCACCTCTTACCTTACCTGCCAACAGCAGCGCGGTACATAATAATTGCGCGTCCAATGCGTCTTTAGTTCGTACTCATACAGTCCTATTATCCACAGCGCTCATTGATATTTGCGTAGGTGAATCAAAGGTATCAACCGTTCGATGTATTGTAGACACGGGTAGCCAGGCGTCCTTTATCACAGAGGCTTGCGTACAACGTTTAGGTTTAGCGCGTAAACATATAAATATTCCGGTTTTGGTATAGGCGATACCGATCCTGTGCAACCTAAAGGTATAGTTTCATGTTTAATTGTTCCAAAAGGTAAACAGCAGCCCATTGTACCCGTGGATGCGTTAATTTTGCCAAAATTAGTTACGAAAATGCCCAGTGTACCTCTGCCCTTTACAGGTTGGTCACATTTAAAAAATTTAAACTTAGCTGACCCTGACTTTCATACACCCCAACCGGTAGAAATGTTACTAGGAGCGGATATACTATCCCACATTTTATTAGGCAACATGATTACTGGACCTCCGGGGTCACCGATTGCGATGAATAGCGTGTTAGGTTATTTATTATTAGGTAAAATAACGTTCGATACAATCGTTTCGACTCCACTCCAGGTATGTTTTAGCTCGTTTGACAACGACAATCTTCAAAGGTTTTGGGAGCTGGAATCATTTTCCGAGAAACGTACTTACACTCCAGACGAGGAGCTATGCGAATCCTTTTTCCAAAAGACGCATACACGGGACGAGACAGGACGGTACGTCGTCGCCCTGCCGTTCAAACCCAACGCACCGCGCCTCGGCGAGTCACGGCAAATTGCATTGGCTCGCTTTAGAAAATTAGAGTATAGATTGGAACGCAACGTGCAGCTGAAAACTGATTATCACACGTGCCTCCAGGAGTATGAGGACCTGAATCACATGGAGCTCGTTGATAGTGAGCCTTTGCAAGGTGCCAGCTATTATATTCCGCACCACTGTGTAGTTAAAGAATCGAGCAAAACAACTCGTACACGCGTAGTGTTCGATGCGGGTTGTAGAACGACGAGTGGTTTGTCGCTTAATGACGTTCTCCTAACGGGTCCCAAGCTTCACCTTGATATAGTAGACGTACTTTTAAAGTTTCGTGTTCATGCCGTAGCGTTCAGTGCGGATATTAAACAAATGTATCGAAATATACTGATTCGTGAAACTGATAGGGACTTCCAGCGCATTTTATGGCGTAAATCGCCAGAAGAACCTATACGGGACTACCGTCTCCACACGGTCACATTCGGTGTAAATTCCTCACCATATCTCGCTTTGCGTACAATTCAGCAGCTTGCTCACGATGAGGCCGAGTATTTTAGGCTCGCATCTCCCGTATTATTGAGTGACGTATTTGTCGATGATGTTGTTTCTGGTGAGGATACGGAGTCCAAAACTCTCGCTCTGCAGCAAGAGCTTATCGACATTTGTAAGACGGCTGGATTCGAACTACGTAAGTGGCACAGCAACTCATCAGCGATACTCGCTACACTACAGCCACCAGCTTGTCATGGTGAGCGGCCCGAAAACGTTCCATTTTCTGAAATGGAGAACGACAAAAGAGTTAAGGTCCTCGGACTACAATGGAATCCAGGATCTGATACATTTAATTTTAAAGTTCAAGTTACCACTCATAAATGCACCAAGAGATCTATTCTTTCTGAGATCGCAAAAATATATGACCCTCTCGGGTTGCTATCTCCGGTAACCTTGTATGCCAAACATTTGATTCAGTTATTGTGGATGGCAAATGTAGATTGGGACGATAATCCGCCCATCGATATCATTAATTCGTGGACACGTTTCATAAACGAGCTACCGCTGCTATCACAGGTATCGTTTCCGCGATACATTTTCAGTAATAATATCGATTCGGTAGAAATTCATGGATTTGCTGATGCGTCCCAGATCGCATATGCCGGCTGTGTCTATATTCGACTTACAAGCAAGGACGGCAATATTTATACATACCTGATTATGGCGAAAACTAGGGTAGCTCCGCTCCGCGCACCCCTTACCATCCCACGTCTCGAGCTGATGGCAGCTCTATTGCTTTCAAAGCTATTAGATAAGATAGCAAATTTATACAGAGATCGCATCTGCCCTGAACGGATTTACGCATGGTCCGACGCCACCATCGTGCTGGCCTGGCTCCGTTCATCGCCGCATGAATGGAAGACGTTTGTTTCCAATCGCACTAGCGATATTCTGTCCCGCGTTCCCGCCAGCTGCTGGCACCATGTTCCGTCAGCCGATAATCCTGCTGACGCTGCATCACGTGGCTTGCTACCTACCGCGATGGTACAACACGACTTGTGGTACCATGGTCCCGCATGGCTCCGACGAAGTGCTGACAACTGGCCGGTTGAGACTCAAACTATGAGCACCTGTGAAGAAAAACGTAACTTAACGCTATCTTCTGCTATGTCTACGGCACCGCCCGTACAAAATACCGAAATTATAATGCGATTTTCGTCGCTAGGCAAACTCGTTCGGATTACTGCACTAATATTTCGTTTTTATAATAAATGCAAAAGGGTTAAAAATTCGTTCCCGGGTTACATTACCGTACCTGAATATAATTTTTCATTAAATCGACTAATTTACCTTACTCAACAATCGGTCTTTCAAGACGATATTTTAAAGATATCTCAAGGAAGATTACCTTCTAATCAATTGCGACGTCTTACACCCTTTTTGGATAGTGACAAACTCTTACGTGTAGGAGGTCGAATTCATAAATCATTGTTACCATTTGAATCTAAACATCAAATAATTTTACCGAAAAAACATGCTTTGACGAATTTAATTATCGACGACGCTCACATGAGCTATCTGCATGCAGGACCTCAGTCCGTGCAATACTTGCTGTTGCAGCGCTATTGGATATTGTCTTGCCGCGACATCGTGCGTCAACGCATACATCGCTGTGTCCGTTGCTTTCGTGCTCGTCCAACACGTGATCAACCGATTATGGGACCACTACCAGCTTCGAGAATACGTCCGGCGCGTCCTTTCCTTAAAACGGCCGTAGATTACGCCGGTCCATTTTTTGTTCGTGCAAATAAAGTACGTAATGCGAAAATAGTGAAGTGTTATGTTTCGGTATTCGTATGTATGAGCGTAAAGGCCGTACATCTCGAACTCGTTTCGGAGCTATCCACTGATGCATTTTTAGCAGCTCTGCGACGCTTCACGGCCCGTCGAGGATTATGTACGGATACATATTCTGACTGCGGAAAGAATTTTGTCGGATGTAACAATTATCTTAAAGACCTATACGCGTTTTTACGTAGTCATGTCGTTCAAAGTACAATTAATCAACAAACCCTTCAACAGGGACTTACGTGGCACTTTCAACCTCCGTATGCTAGCCATTTTGGAGGTCTCTTCGAAGCTAGTGTTAAAAGTTTCAAACACCACCTACATCGTGTGGTTGGAACTCGTACTCAGACTTACGACGAGATGCATACTCTTCTCTGTCAAATCGAAGCCGTGTTAAACTCACGTCCCCTTTGCGCCATGAGTTCGGCCTCTACCGATCCCCTTCCTTTAACACCGTCTCATTTTTTAATAGGAGAACCCTTAACGGCTCTACCTGATGTATCCTTGTTGGACGAAAACCCTAACCGTCTCACACGTTGGCGCTGGATACAACAGTCAGTCCAGCACTTTTGGAAAAGATGGAGTAGAGAATATCTCCATCACTTACAACAGAGTAGTAAGTGGCTTCATGATCGCGGCTCCGCCATTCGTGAAGGCACTGTTGTTGTGGTATGCGACGAGCACCTTCCGCCATTACAATGGAAGCTCGCGCGTGTGCATGCTGTTCATCTTGGCTCCGATCAAGTCACTCGTGTAGTGACCTTAAAGGCTGGGAATACTATTTTTAAACGACCTGTAGTAAAGATTTGCCCACTTCCGTTAGAGTAATGTGTTAAATAAAAAAATTTGTCTACGGGTGCCTCTATAGGTCCCATAGCGGTAATTCCGAAACAGACCGACTCATCGACCACGTCCAAATGGCTGCAGACTCCGTGCTACAACAGGTCCCATCCGCAGAGATCTTGATCCTTGGCGATTTTAACGCCCACCACACCGAATGGCTCGGTTAACGTTTAACCGATCATGCTGGGAGATCTGTTTATGACTTTGCCTTGGCATATGGTCTGACACAACTGGTTACTTTGCCTACGCTAATTTCAGATGTGGAGGATCATACACCTTCCCTGTTGGACCTTCTGCTGACCTCTCATCCGGACGGATATCAGGTTTCATTCGAAGTCCCTCTCGGCTCTTCGGACCATTGTCTGATCCGGAGTGTGGTGCCACTCACGCTCCCCTAGCGGTTGCGTTCTGCAGGTTGCCGCTCTGTTTGGCATTACAGATCGGCGAATTGGGACGGAATGCGGTCTTTCTTTGCATTCTACCTATGGGTTTGCTTCTTGCCGGATGATCCCAGCATTGTTGCTGACTCTGTCACTGATGTGGTGCTACAGGGAATGGAACTATTTATTCCATCATCTGTGGTAGCTATCGGAGGCAGATCTCAGCCTTGGTTTGGTCGCTCCAGTAAGACTGCATTACGCAGTAACGCAGGAGTGTTATCAAGCCTGGCTGCGGCTTCGGCGACTCGGGATGTAAACACCAGCACACTTAAAAAGAAGTATAACTTCGCCTCCAGGCCCTTCAAAAGAGTTATTGCCAAGGCAAAGTCAGAGCACATAGGCGGAATTGGCGAGAAACTAGTTCGACTTCCTTCGGGAACCCGTGCATTCTGGTCTTTCGCCAAGGCTGTCCAAGGGACTTTCTGTAAGCCATCACTACCTGTTCCGTACTGGAACAGATTATTTATATATTGTGTTTTTTGTTTCCCTTTTTTTTTTCGCATATAATAACAAATGCAAGGCAACACAATTTAGAAGATAGTAATTTTTCTATATTTCTATTAATTCATTGGGTTGGCGATCAACTGTTTTCATTCTGAATGCAGCCATAATCTTGCGGGTTATGGCTCTCTGTGCGACATAAGCGCAACATCGATTGGCGGCAATTGTAAACAGTCTAATTAAAACCACCGACGCGCGCGCATACAAATATTTTCGTGTTACTCAAACTCATCTCTCAAGATCTCTTTCACCTGGAAGTGTTGTGCTTGTAACCTATGGACTCTTGTGCGATACACTCTGCTGAACTTTGATACTACTATCATTGCGTCGACTGCCCCGAGCTCCTTGAGCCAGCCCCTGGATTCGTGGTTGCAGGGAGATTGTAGCGGTAAGTCGCTAAACCCAGTAGAATATCGTACACTACCATCTCTGCACAGGGAGGACGACTCACTCGGCCAAGCCGCAAAAGACAAAGCCGATCTTTTAGGCTCCCTTTTTGCGTCCAACTCGACTCTTGATGACGGAGAGAACACACCGCCGACCATCCCGCGATGTGAGTACTCCATGCAGGATGTGCGGTTCGCGCAGCGATCGGTCCACAAAGCACTCCTCTCCCTGGACATCCACAAGTCGAGAGGACCTGACTGACTCCCCCCAATTGTGCTGAGGACATGAACTCCGGATTTGGCACCGGTTCTAACGCGTCTTTTCCGGTATTCCTACTCCCTAGGCGTAGTCCCGAAATCATGGAAGACAGCTTTTGTCCACCCGATACCTAAAAAAGGCGACCGCTCAGACCCGTCCAACTACAGGCCTATCGCCATCACCCCCTTGTTCTCCAAAATAATGGAGTCCGTTATAATCTGCCACCTCATGCGGTACCTTGAGGATCACCAGCTGATTAGTGACCGCCAATATGGTTTTTGTCGGGTTCGATCATCTGGTGATCTTCTGGTCTACCTGACTCATAGATGGGTGGAGGTAGTAGAGTCCAAGGGGGAGGCGTTGGCCGTTAGTTTGGATATTGTGAAGGCCTTCGATCGGGTTTGGCACAAACCGCTTCTTTCGAAGTTCCCTTCCTATGGGCTTCCCGAGAAATTGTGCAATTGGATCAAAAACTTCCTTGCAGATCGGAGCATCAAGGTCGTTATAGATGGTGCATGCTCTGACTACAAGCCTATTAACGCTAGTGTTCCACAAGGCTGTGTGCTATCACCAACGCTTTTCTTCTGCATATCAATGATATGATGCAAACTGGTAACATTCATTGCTATGCGGATGACAGCACTGGTGATGCTTTATACACCGTCCGTGCCAATATTTCTCGGGAAAACGTCGCTGAGTACCGGAACAAACTTGTGTCTGAAGTCGAGTCTTTGCTGAACAAAGTCTCGGATTAGGGGCGACTAAATTTAGTCCAGTTTAATCCTCAGAAGGCACAGGTTTGCGCGTTTACCGCTAAAACGAACCCCTTTGTCGTATCTCCTCAGTTTCAAGGCACTCACCTTCTTGCCTCAGCCAATATCGGAATCCTCGAAGTCGACATATCGAGTGACGTGCAGTATCGTGGTCATTTGGAAGAGAAGGCCAAATTGGCCTCTAAAAAGCTTGGCGTGCTCAGCAGAGCGGGACAGTATTTCATGCCAGTACACCGCCTGCAACTCTACAAGGCGCAGTCTCGACCTCACATGGAATACTGTTCCCCTCTCTGGGCAGGGTCTCCACAGTGCCAGCTCCTTCCACTTGACCGCATCCAGCGTAGAGCGGCTCGAATCATCGACGACCGAGTCCTTTCCGATCGGCTCGATTCATTGGCACTGCGAAAAGATGTTGCATCCCTTTGCATTTTCTTTCGCACCTACCACGGGGAGTGCTCTGAGGAATTGTTGGGATTAATTCCAGCCACCAAATTTCACGAACGCACATCACGGCAGAACTCCCGATACCATCCACACCATCTGGATGATTGGCGGTCCACCACTGTGCAATTTAGAAGATGTTTTCTTCCTCGCACGACTTCCTTGTGGAATCGATTACCATCAGCGATTTTTCCGTACCGATACGACATAGGGACCTTCAAGAAAAGAGCCTACTCCTTTTTAAAAGGCCAAAAAAAAGTTGATCATGGGTGGCGGTACTCACTTACCATCAGGTGAGCCGCATGCTCGTTTGCCCCCTCTCCTATAAAAAAAATACCCAGACCTGCAACGGGCAGCGCTGTCAAACGTACGCGGCGTCTGGCACTGCGATCATCAAGCTGCCTAAAGCGTGATGATAAAGTGAAATCTTCGCCTTACGTAGAGCTAAGATGATAGAGATGTTCAGCAGCAGACTTTTAAGAACTGAAGATACGAAATGGTTTTCCGGCTGTCTATTGGATGTCATTTGATCTTTCTAGCTTTTCACGTAGCCAACTCTTATACGACCCATGGAACGTTATGTTGAGATGGATTCTCTTACGCTGATACTACACATATTAAAATACAATAGAAAAGAATAGTTTTTATTCAATATAAATTACAATAATACTTATTGAAAGTCGTTTATGCATTTACTATTGGTTCGGGAAATCCCCTATCCTGGGAAGAAAAAAAAGAAAGACCTTGTGTGACTACTTTTTGTAACAATTATTTACAATATAAAATGTATGACAATTAAATACGAAAGTATTTAGAAAGATTGCGATTCCGAATACAGATTAAATGTAAAAATATACATAAACACACCTGCTCGCTTCGGTCTTGCGACGAACACAGAGCGCGTGCCGTACGAATTCTACGAATGTGTGTTGCGACTCATACAAAATCTATGAAAGATTTGCGTTCGGAGTGGTTTTTTCCGTTCGGGATTCCGAACGCACAGACGGTCATACGGAATCTCGAATCGGAGGTAATTCCGTACGGAAATTCACCACTCCGAAACGGAATTCCGTATGTATGTAGCCGGCCTTTAATTAATTAATCATTTGAATTGGATTTTGAGATGTAAAATTGGTGCATTTTGTGTATGAAATGTCTGCGCATGTGAACTATTAGTAGAAACGGTGAAACAAGTGCTCCGATGCTGATGTGAATCTCAAGATAAGGTGTCTGTCTGCTTAGGCGCCTTGAGATATCGTTTACTGTCTGCTGGTTAAAGTTGCCGTCGAAATCTCGTAGAAACTATGCAATGTTACGCATTAACATATTGTGAAGCAGTGTACTATAAAGGATATTATAACTTGATACTGAGATAAAAATAAAGACATGGCTTAAAGGACAAGCATCCAAGTCACAAATCTGAATAAAAAAGACCAATTGTAAAAGAAGAGTAGAATACGAGTCATTTAAAAAGAAATGTTTTTAAATAAAATATTTCTGTCTGATTCTTTGGACGTTGGTAACTCTTAAACTGGTCTTAGCATTTTGACAATGAAATTTCAATCGATTTATTACACGATTTCATACGGCAGCACTTCCGCTTACCTGAGTTGCTCGTTTCTCGCTGCATGTTCATAATCAACGAATTTACATCCTTTGCCGAGATGTTGATGTTATGCTCTGCCATGATGGTCTCAGCATCACTCATCTCGAAATCAGCAAAGCTAAATGACTCATATAATAATAACACTAGTTAAAAGCCAAAAGCTCCTTACAATTATTAACAATGTCTTCATGTCATCACACACACACACGCACGCACACACGCATGCACGCACTCACGCACACCACCCCACCCCCCACCCCCCACACACACATACTCACAACACACTATATAAATAAATAAAAAATAATCCGTGAAACTCACAGGCATATTCGGATTAGTATTCAATATATTAATTCGTGTTCTTCCAATTACATTTAAATTTGCCCTGCCTGTCTTGGCAACATTTCAGCTTTGACCTGAATATCCTCCTACTGTAGCAGCTACCTCCAGCTGTATTGCTGCTACATCACGAATGGGTCTGTTCGACCAGGGAGGGACTACGTTCTCACAAAATACCAGCGCAAAACAGCAGCTTAATACTACTGTGTTTTATATGGTGTGTGTAGAGTATCGGAGACC